GCATCCCTAGCCACATCCTCAGAGCATGGGCAGACCAGCTGGCTGGTGTGTTTATGGACATATTCAATCTCTCCCTTTCCCAGTCTGCTGTTCCCACATGCTTCAAGATGGCCACCATTGTTCCTGTACCCAAGAAAGCAAAGGTAACTGAACTAAATGACTATCGCCCTGTAGCACTCACCTCTGTCATCATTAAGTGCTTTGAGAGACTAGTCAAGGATCATATCACCTCTACCTTACCTGTCACCCTAGACCCACTTCAATTTGCTTACCGCCCCCATAGATCCACAGACGATGCAATCGGCATCACACTGCACACTGCCCTATCCCATCTGGACAAGAGGAATACCTATGTAAGAATGTTGTTCATTGACTATAGCTCAGCATTCAACACCATAGTACCCTCCAAGCTCATCATTAAGCTCGAGGCCCTGGGTCTGAACCCCGCCCTGTGCAACTGGGTCCTGGACTTCCTGACGGGCTGCCCCCAGGTGGTGAAGGTAGGAAACAACATCTTCACTTCGCTGATCCTCAACACTGGGGCCCCACAAGGGTGCGTGCTCAGCCCCCTCCTGTACTCCCTGTTCACCCATGACTGCATGGCCAAGCACGCCTCCAACTCAATCATCAAGTTTGCAGACGACACAACAGTAGTAGGCTTGATTACCAACAATGACGAGACCGCCTACAGGGAGGAGGTGAGGGCTCTGGGAGTGTGGTGCCAGGAAAATAACCTCTCACTCAACATCAACAAAACAAAGGAGATGATCGTGGACTTCAGAAAACAGCAGAAGGTGCACCCCCCCCTATCCACATCCCTCCGGGACCGCAGTGGAGAAGGTGGAAAGCTTCAAGTTCTTTAGCGTACACATCACCGACAAACTGAAATGGTCCACCCACGCAGACAGTGTGGTGAAGAAGGTGCAACAGAGCCTCTTCAACCTCAGGAGATTGAAGAAATTCGGCTTAGCACCTAAAACCCTCACAAACTTTTACAGATGCACAATTGAGAGCATCCTGTTGGGCTGTATCACCGGCTGGTACGGCAACTGCACCGCCCACAACCGCAGGGCTCTCCAGAGGGTGGTGCGGTCTGCCGAACGCATTACCCACCCTCCAAGACACATACAGCACCCGATGTCACAGGAAGACCAAAAAGATCATCAAGGACATCAACCACCCGAGTCACTGCCTGTTCACCCCGCTATCATCCAGAAGGTGAGGTCAGTACAGGTGCATCAAAGCTGGGACCGAGAGAATGAAAAACAGCTTCTATCTCAAGGCCATCAGACTGTTAAATAGCCATCACTAGCACATTAGAGGCTGCTGCTGCCTATTGAAAAATACATTTACATTTTAGTCATTTAGCAGACGCTCTTATCCAGAGCGACTTCCAATTAGTGAGTGCATACATTTTTCATACTGCCCCCCCGTGGGAAATAACTGGCCACTTTAAGAAATGGAACACTAGTCACTTTAATAATGTTTACATATATTGCACTACTTATCTCATATGTATATACTGCATTCTATTCTATAATATTCTACTGTATCTTAGTCCATGCCGCTCTGTCATTGCTTGTCCATATATGTATATATTCTTAAATCCCATTCCTTACTAGTTTTGTGTGTATTGGGTATATGTTGTGAAATGTTTAGATATTACTTGTTAGGTATTACTGCACTGTCGGAGCTAGAAGCACAAGCATTTCGCTACACCCGCTATAACATCTGCTAAACACGTGTATGTGACAAATCAAATTTGATTTGATTTGATTTAGTGTAAGAGCTGTTTGAAAAGACTGCCTGAAATTTCAGCCTTTTTTGGTGGGATTGAGTTTGGCAATAAATTAGTTAATAGACCAATGAGAGAGTTCAAAACCTCTCTGCCAATAACAGCTAGTTTTTCATTTTCCCCTCCCCACTCAGACCACTCCCAGACAGTCATAGCAAAAGTACTGCATGAGAAATTGCTCTTTGCTAAGAAGTTATTTGTTTCTTTTTGACCATTTTAATTGAAAACAATCACAGTAAGGTTGTGAGGTTGACCCAGCTGTAGGATTTTACAGTGAGGAGGCAACATTGCAGAACTGATTTTTCTTGCCCAGAGTGAGGATTTTTATTTTAAAGTGAGGAATAGTGCCAGCGAAACTTACAATATATTTACAAACAAAACTGGACATAGTAACAAGGGAACTAAACTAACTCAACTACAAGCTTGTGCAAAAGACAACCCAGGCTCAATCATGCCTGGAAAACCCCAGCCGCATGCCAACTTTACCTTATCTCTGTCCCATGTAGTGTATTAGGATTATGCCTTTGTTAAATGTTTTTCATGAAGAAATGGAATGTTGTTTATGTTAGTTCAAAAGTAGCCGTTTGTGGGGTGACACCCCAGGGGAGACGGGTGATTGGACAGCAGAGGGAGCCACCCATCTTTTTGCATTGTTTATAAGTAGGGGCTAGACAAATAGAGGGCAGAGCAGCCATGGCAATCTGGAACGGTGCTCTCCGGGGGATCTTGACTCCTGTAACTCATGCTGAAAGCTTGTGATATGAATAAACTTATGATCAAAGATTCAGTATGAGCGGACTCCTTTGTTTGACAGCAATAGCCACCAACACCCGACGGGACACGACACCCACAAACAAAGAAATGCCAGGGTTTAAATAGCAATACCCATCATGCCTCTGACCAATGAAAAGATGACATGTCATACAATGACCAATTATCCTTCATCATGCATGAATTTCAAGCTGTACATTTTCAGATCATAAACATACATTAATAACTATAAGCACACATATCAATAGAGGTGCCACATATGCTTTTAAACATAAATACAGCCTGGGATATAAACATGTAACGTTCCCCCGGGAGAAGGTACTACCGCATTATCCGTACCATTCATTAACTATGCGCTTGAATACGCCCCATTTGCCCATCAATTCTCAACCAGGAAATGGAAGGATAACCCTCTTCAATAAACGGTAGGGCGGCAGGTAGCTGATAAGCGCGTTGGGCCAGTAGCCGAAAGGTTGCTGGATCGAATCCCTGAGCAGACTAGGTGAAAATCTTTCTGTGCCCTTGAGCAAGGCACTTAACCGTAATTGCTCCTGTAAGTCGCTCTGGATAAAAGCGTCTGCTAAATGATATAGATAAAAATGGATAAATTTGCAGTACACATACAGTAATATCAACAACTATTACACTATGTTTTATAAATAAACCACACATATTTTCTATAAAACCTAAAAGCTTTCATGGCTATCCAGAAGTTACAGTATACTTGTACCGTGTTCTCTCACATATGCTGGTTAGGTCACAGACTACATACAAGTAAATTACAGTTGAGTTATTAATGACACGGAAGATTCACAGTATGGGCACGATATAGCACAGTGAATGTTATACACTTTGATTGACAGCTTGAGTGTGTGTGTGGTCCAGTTTGGCGCTTGTCGATGCGTTAGAGGACAGCATCATGGTGCCTGAGACCTACTGAGACTATAAACAAAAGCAGCCCAATCTATGCAGAAATCGTATTTGCTTATGGTAAGAACAAAATACAAATTGTTCATACAAAATGTATTCTGTTCATCTTCCATTTAATTTAGAAAGTGAAAGCAGCTCTGGATATGCTTTTTATGGGCAAAAAAAGAGCAAAACAATCACAAGCCTTCTAATGAACTCGATGGACCGCCATGGTATTTCCCAGTTCAAAATGTGAACGATTTCAACTCATATTTACGACTTCACAACTGGTAATTACCGTATTCCCACTTGGTTATAAACACAGCATAAGGATTTAATTGATGCGTCATCATTGGCTGTAAATATTAGTTAACAGCATTGCCAAGCAAATGTTTTCTGTGAGGAAGGTCAGTAGGTATCTGGGGAGTGAAAGGAGGGATGGGGGTCCGTCGACAAGGCTGAGGTGGGGTCATTTTGGATTGGGAAGTTGGTTAGTGTTAGTGGGGAAACACCCAGATGGGGAAGTGTGAGGAATGTGGGGAGGTAGAGACTGGAGCATGTCCTGTTACATTGCAGGCGGGATGCTGAGGATAGGAGGACATTTCTGTGAGCTGGCTGAGTTGGGTGTAACCACATATTCACTTGTAACAATTTTGCCCTTGTCGTGGTAAATATATTATGTTATAGCTTGGTCTGACTAAAATCTTGTGCATAACCCATCTTGTGTTGGGGCCTTTGGACTTAATACAATGCACAAAGACTTCTATCTTGTCGGCCTTATCAGCAGGTGGCTATGGACAACACCCACGCCATAGGTCTCTCAAGTTCTCCCAAACTCACGAGTTATTGCTCTGAGGACATACACACACACCCCCCACACACACACACATACACACACACACACACATCATCATTGTTAAACATACACACATACACACACACACATACACACATACACACACACACACACACACACACATACACACACATACACACACACACATACACACACACACATACACACACACACACATACACACACATACACACACATCATCATTGTTAAGCACACACACACAAAAAACCCCTTCTGTCAGGCTGAACATCTGAAGACAGAGAACCCGACTCAGAGCCAATGCAATGGAGATGACCTCGACCAACTCATCAGGACCAATCGGAAGATCGGAACTACTAGAATCAACCTACTTTATTTTATTGTATAAAATGTCAGCACACAATGTTTTGGGGCGCGCTCTCAGATATCTCCCTACGAGGTTGACGAACGGGTCCGTGCACGCTATTTACAGATATCTTTACCTCTGAATAAACTGCCTTATATTATACAATCATCCACCTTGTCCGAAAGTCTCTACTTGGTCTCCGTTCTCCAGTAAACTTGTGATCATCAACACCCTCAAATGACAGGCCGAGCGAAATAGCAAGGAAGCTGTTGTGGTTTCTCTTCCACCGGCCTGCACCTACGGTTGTAAGGAAGGCTATTAGATATTTAAATATGTAATTCGCACTCCGACCTGAGAAAGGCAGCAATACGCAATACAGCGTCTACTCTGTCGGAAACGCACAAGAAGAACAGCAACCGTTTTTAGCTTACAAATAGGGTACATCGTTCGTGTTGTCTAATTGTGTAGCCTTTTATATATCTCTAAACTTTGTCGATTTAGCTCACATTTGCAGCAACATTTTTATCCCAGTACACTATCATGCAGCTGTTTAGCTAGCTTGAGTCGTTGAGTACAGAAGCGAGTTTCTCAAAACAAGGCACTTGTTTTTAAAATTGACGGTATTGTTATTTAAGTCTACTTGTCGTGTGTCATCCGTCCCCAATGGGGTTCAATAAGACATACATCAGTATCGGGTATGCCACTTTTGGCATGCTTATAGGATTCTCTGCATTTCTCGTGTGGAACATCGCGTACAATCAACCATGGACAGCTGCAATGGGAGGATTATCAGGTAAAGTATTAGTCAGAATGTAAACAATGATTTATTTTGTGGATGAGGCTGCAGACATGATGTAACGTTATAGCTACAGCAATATTTTCAGGATTTAACTGTCCATCTGACTCACATGAACTGAATATTGCCACAGCGTCGGTACCAATCTCATGTTACAAGTGTTACAGTGCTGTAGTTTGGAGTGACATGGTCAGAAGCCAACACTTGAATTTATTTTTCCAAAAGAAAATGGAACGTTAGCTACATAACGTTCAGAGACAGACAGACACAGATAGGATTCTGTGAATTTGTTGTATGATCTGTCGTTCGGCAACATTCTAAAGTTCTAAACGTTGCACACGACCCCCACTGAACAACATGCCCCAGGTCTAGGTATTCTACCTAGCAAAGCTGAATTGGTAAACTTGACTTCAGAAGAGAATAGCTACATCTCTACACAACAGGTTGTAAACTACTACATCTCTGTACAATACATACTGTACTACATTGCATTACATATAAGGTTATTATTACCCAGTAAAAAAAGGAAATAGGCCTATATCCTATATGTCCAAAATGTCTACTTTCGAGTTTCCAAAACATTTTATTACACATCAGCGTTTTAGCATCAGTTATTACAGGGGTTTCACTCAGGCCCCCCTTCTGGCATTGGGGAACCCAGCGCCCCAGCCACAAGCTCTGTTCCTGACACAAACTGTTCACACTCCTCTTGTTGGTGGAGACAATATTTTGCAGGTTGAAAACGTATTTCCTGTAATTCTACACATTTTGTCATAGGGTGCAGATAACATTTTGCGTTTTTAAAGCTAATTTTCTTGCAATTCTATACATTTTGCCATGTCTAATGTGTATTCATGTGATATTTGAGTGACTCGCACACTATAACAACCTATGGGCTAGTTGATCTGGACATTTCTGACAAGTTATAAATAGCTCTCTAAGGTATGCAATGACTGACACGACAAGAGGAAAACTGATGATGCACTACCCAATTCCGAAATTGCACCTTGTGCATTCTACTATTACAACTTTAAAGAGTAAGTTGAAATCCTTCCTGGTTAACCTGGAATTTTGGATGTTCCTGATGCTAAAACGACACTGGTCAAAAACCTGTCAGGTGTCAACTCAAACTGTACTGTATTTCTGCTTACACAGCCTTTTTACACAGTCTCCTCAGATGAACTTGGCACACATGTCCTGCTACTCATCCCATTGGAAGTTATCTCCTCATCACCATTACAATTTGCTGACCTGATAAGAGCGGAAGCCTGCGCCTACCATAAAGCAATCATTCTTTCTAGTATTGAACATTGGCTACATTGCAGTCCGAGGAACATTAAGGTCTAGTTACCAACCATGCTTAGTAATTGTACAATAAAAAAGTAACTTTATAATTAAATACTCTATTGCCTAGTATTTGCAATTAAGTGACTTTAGAGTATTATTTCTATGTTTTTATTTTGTAATGTGGTGTAAAACACAGGTATTGACAGCCTAACGCTTAGAGCACCCCTTTTGTCAGTTATGTAATGACCTACTAGTTAATTAGTGGTGCATTTGTGGCTGGGAACTTTGAGCTCTTGTTAGTTCATCCTCTCAGGTCAGCAAGTTGATATCGGTGTGACTTTTCTCTCTTCTCTTTGTTGTAAACTTCTTCTTATACTTCTTCTTTAAACAGAACAGTAGCTGCAGATGCATATTTAGTGATGTATTTAGTACTGCATTTAGTAATATATCTGTATTGTATGTACATTTCACATACAGTGCAAATCTTGCTGTTGTGAAATCCATGATTTCAATCTAACATGAAGGCGAATTACTTTTTATAAAGTGCACTGTCACTGATGTTCTTATCAAGGCCAAATCCACTTTTTTCTTGTGGGGTCATGATAGCAGCATGTGATGTGTGGTGCCTGTGCCAATAGAGAAAGAATCAATAAAGGTGCAATTCTTGCAAAAACAACTTGGGGGGGGCGTGTGCTTGGTCATATGATTGTAGACCATGAGATGGGGAAATTAGTGGGGTCAGCATGGCAGATTGACACAGCAGAATAAGACTAGCCTTCTCAGTATCGGAGCATGAGGTCTCATACGAACAGGGTCAGAGACAGTTTCTATCTACAACCCATCAGACTGCTGAACACTTGAACTGGACTGACCACCTGCACTGACTCTCCACACCTTAGCACACATGCACTCACTCACACAGATATATCTTCCACACATACATATACATTCATGCTACACACACATCACAACTGCTGCTATCAGACTCTTATTCTGATTGTGAAATACTGCACAATTTAAATGGTGCCTTCCTGTATTATACTTATGCTAAAATGTTTATTCTATTCTACTGAGCCATTTAATTTATGTTCGTATTCTTATCTTTTATTATTTATTATTGTTGTTATATTGTTGAGAAGGAACCTGCAAGTAAGCATTTCATTGGACGGTGTATATCATGTGTATCCCGTACATACGACGAATAAAACTTGAAGCTCCCTCTAACGATGACTCAGGATTTAGGAGGGTCAATTGAACTTAGTAACGTTAGCTTGGCTGCATCCCGTTTACCTACACTTACTCCGAAAAACGTCCTGTTATGGATTTAAAAAGCATTGGATTGTTGTAAGCAGGAGGGAGTTTCTACCATTTGTTAAATCCACGACAGCAAGTGTGCAAGTGCACACTTCAAGAGAAGGGTGGAGAATCAGGACTCAGCCCTAACCACCATCTGACCATGCTTGAAAGGAAACCAGTGTGATACTTTCAAACCTCAAAAACTTGTGTTTGTTTATAAATTCACTCTGGAGTGCCAGAGTGCGCTCAGAGTGCATTCTGGGCGTTTGTAAATTCAGAGCGTTTTTTGTTGTTGTCTGGGTGAGTTTCTCAAACTTGTTTTGTACAATGGCATTTTGTACTGGAGTAAACAGAATGGAACAACTTTTGTTTTCGCCGAGGAGTAGGGTTGATCCGAGCGTTCTAACCTCACAACGGCAGTCAAGCACCCAAGCTAACTGGCTAAAGTTGACTAGCTTGCTAGCTACTTCCAGACACAAATGCGAGAACCTCACTCTGACCATTTTACTCGCCCTAGCAGAGCTGGTTAGGCTGTTTTCATGTTATCTAGAGCGTTGGTGACGAACTGTGCTGCTGGCAACAATTTAATAACATTTTTTTCCTGACGTTTACTGACACCGGTCATATTCAACAGGTGTTGCGTGTTCGTAAATTCAGCACTTATTCTGCGTTCTGGCACACTTACTAGGATGCTCTGAAATCGGAACAGATACCCAGAGTGAATTTACGAACGCACCCTTGGGTGCCGATACGATATGTATTGTGATTATATATGTGTTGTGTTTCGATACTGTGGTTTTATTGCGATTTGATGTTCCAAACATATTGCTCACCATATGTCTGCTGCAGAGGGACAGGAGAGCCATGAGAAAACAAGTTTTGATCAGTCATGTAAATAAAAGTGAGAAAAAATAATAATTGCTCCCTATTTAAAAAGAAGATGGAGAATAAACTATGAAGGAGGAATACTGGCGTTTTGGTGCAGGTACAGCCAACTAGCGCAAAAATAATATTGCGATATTGTCAATACGATACGATATATCATCAAAAATAATATCCCGATATGTAACTGTATAGTTTTTTTCCCGGCCCCATTACTACTATACACACTTATTCATTATGATCTAAAAGGCAAAACTGTTCCTATAGGCCTATTAACAGCACTCCATCGCTGGGACTCTTTGTGAATATGGCCCTTAACATTGCCACTTTGTCCTACACAGCATGCCCAACGAGTAAAGACAGTTTAAATATTGTGTAAGAAACGGTGAAAGTGGATTCACGAAGGATAGTGCTATACGCTGTCAAACGGACTTGTGGTTATGAAGCTGAAACCGTAAAAGAGGAACATGGAGTGAGTGACAACAGTTTGATTTGAGACACAAATGACACAGCAAAACGTTATGTACTGTGTCAGAATATGTACACCCCTAACACATCTCCACACACTAACATACAGTAGCCTAACCTCAATGTACTCTTATAATCTCCACCGAAACAGCTAGAAGAGGACCGGCCACCCCTCAGAGCCTGGTTCCTTTCTAGGTTTCTTCCTAGGTTCCTGCCTTTCTAGGGAGATTTTCCTAGCCACCGTGCTTCTACATCTGCATTGCTTGCTCATTGGGGTTTTAGGCTGGGTTTCTGCATAAGCACTTTGTGACATCTGCTGATGTAAAAAGGGCTTTATAAATACATTTGATTGATTTAATATAGCTCAAGATTTTTAAACAAAGAGGAAATCTTCTGACTTAAGAACACAATGTAACTTAAGAAAGTTACATTGTGTTTGTCTCATCATGTCAGGAATTGATTTGACTCAAACTGTAAGGATTTTGAACGACCAGCCCCTGACTGTCCGTCTGTGTTTCTGTGTCTCTTCAGGTGTGCTGGCACTCTGGACCCTTATCACCCACGTCATGTACCTGCAGGACTACTGGCGCACCTGGCTGAAGGGCCTCAAGTTCTTCCTCTTCATGGGAGTCTTCTTCGCCCTGCTGGCTGTGGTGGCCTTCATCACCTTCCTCTCCTTTGCCATCATCAACAAAGAATGTGAGTCTCTCACACACACTCCCTTCACTCTCTCATTCCTTCACTCCTCCTTTGATCCTAATTCGCTTCTCATCTGCCCTTCACTTGCTCTACTGTTCATTCTCCAACCAATTTACTCCCTTTCTCATCCTCTGTGTCATCCACTGTACATTTTCTTGTAGTGTATTAGGATGTGTTATTGTCACGCCGGTTGGCGCGACAATAGTAGGCTTTGGTTGAAGCTCAATGTTAAATTGAAATCTCCCTACCATCATATCTAAGCCAATATGACACCAATGGGAAAATCACCTTGATTGGAGGTACACAGCACACTCCCTGCCTCTCGTCATCAGCCGTTACCGAGAACCACATGCCGGATGTTGAACAGGGTCATTATCTTTAGAAACAAATACAGTTTCTTACCCCCCACCTAGCTCAATATCTAGGCGTCTGATAAGAACGAGACTACAACGTCCATTAAGTGACCATTAGACTTGCCACCTTTCGGACGGAATACGTTTGTAAGGGCAACAGTTTTGACAAAATTTATAATTTATTGCTCTACGTGCCAATAGAGAACCAACAAGGTACTACATTTTTGTAGCATTTCTGACAATGCTAACATTTTTCAGCCGAATCTCAGAGTTGCTCAGCAACTCAATAACACAGCTGGCCGCCTGCACCAAGCATAAGATTGAAGTGGTTGAGAACAAACCTAGGCTACTGTAGATATGTTGATATTCAAGCTGAGGTTAATAAATAAATGCAAACAGATAATTGTCCGACATGAAAAGATTGGTCAGTTGTTATTAGTGAGCTGTACCCTATCTGACAAGCCAATGAATGTGGTTTTGTTTTGATTAGCTAGGTAGCTAAGTTATGTAATGTTATACCAGTCAGACGAGAGCTAATGTTGGCTAGGTAGCTAACCAGAGCATATGAGCGGAGTGGAGCGGTGAGAATCTCAGCTCCTCGCTCACGGAGCTGTTCACCCCTCCGCTCCCCCCGCTCAAAGCCACATCAGGCCAGTCCGCTCATTATCGCTCAGCGCTCAACGCAGTTTGCATCGCGCTCCACTCAAATCGCCCCCCGCTCACTCCAAAAAAGGAACAAAATCTGCATGTATTTCACTTTTAGCTTAAACCACAGCCTTACTTTATCTCCCCGAATTTGTTGCATACAGACTCATCTCGGATTATCCATTCTGTCTTGAAACGGGGATCTAACACTGACGCTAAAATGAGATGTTAATCAGTATAGTATATTCCATAGCGAATTGACACGTTGTTTGCCAATGTTTCTGCAAAAGCAGCGATGCCCATTGGAAGTGCAGTGTGAGTGTAATCGGTGAGCAGGGATTTGATTTCTGTGACAGCAGGGAGGATCATCCCCAGGTTCCCCAGCTCCTTCTGCATTTTGTCTGTGAGGTCTGCTAGTGGTGTCAGCACACTGACAAGGTGCGTCAGCTGCCGTACTTGATTCAGGGTGATGTTAGCAACATTAGACTTGAGTTTGTTTTACCATAACGGGTCTTTTTGGAACAACCGGATGAACGACTGAATCATCCGCAGCTGGCTGCTCCATCGAATGGCGCAGGCATTTGTGGGGCGGACACCTAATTGGTCGGTTTCCTCTGTGCTCTTGTGTACACTTTTCACCAGGTGCCCGACTTTCACTAACAGCCTATTAATGTTGTCGTGCTTGTTAACGGCGTTTTTGATCGCCAGCTGAAGCATGTGAATGGGGCATCTCAGATGTAAATTTGACAAAGTAAAGTACTGATTTATCATAGTTTCTTGGGGGGGTGTAGCCCGGTTGAGCTGCGCTGGCGAAGTGTTGCATCCCTTCGCGTTCTCCTTTACTCAGCGGTTCATAGTCCATGAAAATCATTTTAAAAAATGCTACATCCAGCTCTCTTTTTCTCTCCCTTGTTATGGTTGGGCCATTGCGTGCAGTGAATAAACTTTTGAATTCCTCAACCCTTTTCTCTTGTTGCTGCTGCTGCTCCTCTCGCTCTATAAAATACAAATTCATGGACGACACAAATTAAATTAAACAGATGGATTCTGGGTCAGGCTTGAGCATGCTTCAGACTCGTGGTGTGAGCGAGCGAAATTGGAGCGGGACATAGGGCGACGCTCCGTCCTTTTAAAAATGCAGCTCTGCGCTCTGTTCAAAATCCGTCCGCTCACGCTCCACGCTCGCTCCCGCTCCACTCCGCTCATATGCTCTGTAGCTAACCAACAAGTTTGGAAAGCTAGCTATATTTTGCCAAGGCTGAAGTAATCTGTGTAAACTGCTGACCTAGACACTTGCATGTAATCAGAGCGCAAACAAATATGCACAATAAGCTAGCGAATGTCCTTGGCTGCTATGATAGCCAGTTAGCTAGATAGCTAGCTAGGCAACGTTAGCCAACATAAGACTGTAAAGTTAGCTAACGTTAGATGAGTAACGTTAGCTTGCTTATTCAAAGTCCAGCAGCTAGCCTCTGTAGGTAGCTAACACCAGTCAGCTGAAAGCTAGCCATCTAACGAACAGGAAAATAAAAGTAGCTAGGTATATTTGGTCATGGAAAGTTTTTACACAAATTACTTCAGCCATTATTAGCTATCTAGAGCCAGACAACAACAGCTGATCTTGACACAGAAGTTAGCTAGCTCACGTCCAAATGCCAGTCCTACATTTTTCCACAAAACATAGCTAACTAGCTACATCAGTTCAAACCAACACCAAACGTTGGGCAAATTGTCACGGTGCTACCTTACAATGCATGCAATGGGCTTTTGCAACACTAGTTAGCTACCTACTCCATAGTCTAAGGTGTGGTAAGAGCTAGCCACATTTCACTGTCAGACAGAACACAACTCAAACTGTAGCTGAGAAAACAAATGGCTAGGTACATGTGCCTCGGTTGTGCACTGACTGCAGTGTGAAAATGCATGCTTGCTAGCATCTGAAAAACTAACCAGTTTTCAACATCCATAATAAATTCAATTAAGCTCCTTCTCCTGTCTTCCTGACATTCTAATCCAAATGTGTGGAGATCAACAGTGCCAAACTAACAACTCTGCCATTAGACCGTCTTGATTGTATTTAAAGCTCCGATCTGGATGCTGGACTAGCCCATGTGTTGGATATTTGTCAACAACTCTGCCATGCGCGGCCATTCTAGTGGCGAGGCTCTAGGGGTGGGGGGAGGTGGCTACTGCCCACTCCCAAACCCGGATTATATTTACATTTACATTTACGTCATTTAGCAGACGCTCTTATCCAGAGCGACTTACAAATTGGTGCGTTCACCTTATAGCCAGTGGGATAACCACTTTACAATGTTTTTGTTTAGTTTTTTTGTGGGGTGGGGTGGGGTAAGGGGGGGGGGGTAGAAGGATTACTTTATCCTATCCCAGGTATTCCTTAAAGAGGTGGGGTTTCAAATGTCTCCGGAAGGTGGTGAGTGACTCCGCTGTCCTGGCGTCGTGAGGGAGCTTGTTCCACCATTGGGGTGCCAGAGCAGCGAACCGTTTTGACTGGGCTGAGCAGGAACTGTGCTTCAGCAGAGGTAGGGGAGCCAGCAGGCCAGAGGTGGATGAACACAATGCCCTCGTTTGGGTGTAGGGACTGATCAGAGCCTGAAGGTACGGAGGTGCCGTTCCCCTCACAGCTCCGTAGGCAGGCACCATGGTCTTGTAGCAGATGCGAGCTTCAACTGGAAGCCAGTGGAGTGTGCGGAGGAGCGGGGTGACGTGAGAGAACTTGGGAAGGTTGAACACCAGACGGGCTGCGGCATTCTGGATGAGTTGTAGGGGTTTAATGGCACAGGCAGGGAGCACAGCCAACAGCGAGTTGCAGTAATCCAGACGGGAGATGACAAGTGCCTGGATTAGGACCTGTGCCGCTTCCTGTGTAAGGCAGGGTCGTACTCTCCGAATGTTGTAGAGCATGAACCTACAGGATCGGGTCACTGCCTTGATGTTAGCGGAGAACGACAGGGTGTTGTCCAGGGTCACGCCAAGGCTCTTCGCACTCTGGGAGGAGGACACAACGGAGTTGTCAACCGTGATGGCGAGATCATGGAACTGGCAGTCCTTCCCCGGGAGGAAGAGCAGCTCCGTCTTGCCAAGGTTCAGCTTGAGGTGGTGATCCGTCATCCATACTGATATGTCTGCCAGACATGCAGAGATGCGATTCGCCACCTGGTTATCAGAAGGGGGAAAGGAGAAGATTAGTTGTGTGTCGTCTGCGTAGCAATGATAGGAGAGGCCATGTGAGGATATGACAGAGCCAAGTGACTTGGTGTATAGCGAGAATAGGAGAGGGCCTAGAACTGAGCCCTGGGGGACACCAGTGGTGAGAGCACGTGGTGCGGAGACAGCTTCTCGCCACGCCACTTGGTAGGAGCGACCAGTCAGGTAGGACGCAATCCAAGATTGAGCCGCGCTGGAGATGCTTAGCTCGGAGAGGGTGGAGAGGAGGATCTGATGGTTCACAGTATCAAAGGCAGCAGACAGGTCTAGAAGGACAAGAGCAGAGGAGAGAGAGTTAGCTTTAGCAGTGCGGAGAGCCTCCGTGACACAGAGAAGAGCAGTCTCAGTTGAATGACCAGTCTTGAAACCTGACTGGTTTGGATCAAGAAGGTCATGCTGAGAGAGATAGCAAGAGAGTTGGCTAAATGTATAGGATGCATAACTTTGCAATGCTTTTGCCTACTACAAACAGGCTGTAAAAGGCACAAGAAAGATGTGGATGTAGTGTACATGGGGATATCTTAGGCACATGAAAGATGTGGATGTAGTGTACATGGGGATATCTTTGTTTAGTCTCTATGGCTGAGTTATAGGACCTTCAAAATGTTATGACTTAACCGTTTTCTTTTGCTTTGCATTCAATGGGAATTTAGTAATATTTTGCAATTTAAGACTGTCGCAATCAATTGAGCTATTCACCTTCTGAAAACTACAGACAATTACTTTTGTCTATCCATGGTGAATTTTACACATTCTACAAACAGTTAGTTCAAAACTGATTTGAGTTATTAGAGGGCAACATCCAGCAGACCAGGGTTTAAACCAGCAACCCTTGCAGTTATGCAAGCACACCACCTGTGCCATTAAGGCCCAGGCCATTTGGCAGAGGCCGAATTAAAGGGTAAAATAGCACTGCCAATGACTGAATTTTGAAAAAAAATCAGGCTTTGCATGTGGAAATGTTGTATAATGCCCCTTTAACAGAAAATCACCTTCCGGTGTAAAAAACATGGAAATTCAAAACAAAAAACTATGTTTTAAGTGAGAAGTAGGCATTGGTCTGAAGCCTAAAAGAAAGGAAATTCACATGAGCACCACAATGACTACTCCACCCATGCTCTACTAAGGTTTCCAGAACACAGCTTTGACCTACTACAGTAGCTATGATGGTCTATTGTACTTCAAACAATGACTATGCAGGTTGCTAAGGATTCAAACCTTCTTAAACAGCCTAGCTCATACTCTTCAGAGGAGTAATGGACTTTACAGTGTCCTGCTATTAAATAATGTGTGTGTGTGTGTGTGTCTCTCTCTCATTAGGCTATATGTATTTTTTGATATAGGCCTATTGTAAATGTGTATTATTGTAGCGTCAGCATCTTTATTGCAACACGAAATACAAATACACACAACTTTAAGCTAAATATTAATGTTCACAGAGGTAATGAACTGCCCATTGATCAGCACAGCAATTGATAAAACAGGACCATGTTTGCGAAACAATTGTTTCTGAGCTTATGTCAATATTTCACAGGTAAGCTAATGGTTACAGAAATCAGGAATGCAGACAGGCTTATGTGGTCCTCTATATATAAGTGACTGTGTCCAACATGCCATCACCTGTTGCTATGTTGGGCGCCTACTGATCCCCCCCAAAATATGTTGTGAAATATAGATTTTTCTCTCTTGTCATGTATTGCTAAAATAAAGGTTTAAGGAAATACAGGCAGGCACCACATTACTACAAGTCAAAACAGCTCGCTCAATCAGGCGTGATGGTCTTGTAAGTATAATTTTAAAAAGCTTGAAGTGGTAGTGGAATGGGATGTGTGAAGAATCCAATACTTTAACTTGTATGTGGTACAAATCACATTATTGTTGGAGAACCTCCTCTAAGAGTATGAATTACGCTGTTTGAGAAGGTTTGAATCCTAAGCAACCTGCATACACATTATTTGAAGTACAATAGACCAACATAGCTACTGTAGTAGGTCAAAGCTGTGTGCTGGAAAACCTTGGTAGAGCATGGGTGGAGTAGTTATTGTGGTGCTTGTGAATTTTCATTTTTTTTTTCAGCTTCAGACCAATGCCTACTTCTCACTTAATGTGTAGTTGTTTTGTTTTTAATGTAGTCATTAATATTGCATATTTCAGCTCTTAGGGCATGTGCACATGATGGAATCTATTTCCACACAAAATGACTGCTTTGCAGAGATTGTGTGCCGTGAAATCACATAACTCCATGGGGTTATTCTATGTGAAATCCATTGCCTTTGTGTATGCTACAAGCCTGAAGCTGTGGTCAGTTTTTCTACAGGAACCTTCATTGAGAAGTACCTGAGTCAATGAAATGTGTGACAGTGTGCCAATCAGGTATTTTGCTCTGAGTCTGCAAGACTCTAATATCTGTTGTGTGTCTGTCATTTCCAGCACTGACTGACCCGAGGAGTCTGTTCCTGTCGGGCGTGTGGAGCTTCTTGACCCTGAAGTGGTCCTTCCTGCTGGCCCTCTACTCCCACCGCTACCGCAAAGAGTTTGCCGACATCAGTATCCTCAGTGACTTTTGATAAGGGCCATTGAACCCCCTCTATAATGAGGGAATGTGTACCTGGACCTCCACCCATGCCCGCGCCTCCTCGTTTAGGTTACCCTCTCTTTTCCTGTGTCTGTGAAATCAAATCGAAGTTAATTTGTCACGTGCACAGGATACAACCGGTGTAAACAGTACAGTGAAATGCTTACCTGCAAGCTCTTCCTCAACAATGCAGTACTCAATATCAAAGGGAAAGAAATAGAACATCTAGAATAGAATGTTAAAAATATCACAGAAACAGGGAATGCTCAGCACCTGCTAGCCAGTCTATCCACAAGTTGATCCCGATTTTATACCCTTTTATGGATTTTACAATCTTCCTATACATACAGTACCGTTCAAAAGTTTGGAAATGTCCTTGTTTTCGAAAGAAAATCAATTTTTTGCTCCTTAAAATAACATCAAATTGATCAGAAATACAGTGTAGACATTGTTAATGTTGTAAATGGCTATTAAATTAAATAAAAATAAATTGGTCATTTAGCAGACGCTCTTATCCAGAGCGACTTACAGGAGCAATTAGGGTTAAGTGCCTTGCTCAAGGGCACATCGACAGGTTTTTCACCTAGTCGGCTCGGGGATTAGAACCAGCGACCTTTCGGTTACTGGCACAACGCTCTTAACCACTAAGCTACCTGCCGCCCCAATACATTTGAGCTATTGTAGCTGGACCATTATCAGCAACCATCCGTCCTGTGTTCCAATGGCACGTTGTGTTTGCTAATCCAAGTTTATAATTTTAAAAGGCTAATTGATCATTAGAAAACCCTTTTGCAATTATGTTAGCACAGCTGAAAACTGTTGTGCTGATTAAAAAAACAAGGACATTTCTAAGTGACCCCAAATTTTTGATCGGTAGTATATGTATGTGACACTCTTGTCTGTATTCCTGTTGTATGTGCTCTAAAGTTGTTTTAGTCATATGCCAATATCTATCTTTTTATGAGATTAGGGGTTCTTATTTGATTAATTTGTATATAATCCTTGATGATCATGTACATTTACCTGTGCTTATATACCTAGGATGATTTTTTTTACAATATATATACAGTACCAGTAAAAAGTTTGGGTACACCTACTCATTCCAGGGTTTTTCTATTTTTACTATTTTCTACATTGTAGAATAATAGTGAAGACATCAAAACTATGAAATAACACATATGGAATCATGTAGTAATCAAAAAAGTGTTAGACAAACATCCTTTGCCTTGATGACAGCTTTGCACACTCTTGGCATGCTCTCAACCATCTTCATGAGGTAGTCACCTGGAATGCATTTCAATTAACAGGTATGTCTTGTTAAAAGTTAATTTGTGGAATTCCTTTCCTTCTTAATGCGTTTGAGCCAATCAGTTGTGTTGTGACAAGGTAGGGGTGGTATACAGAAGATAGCCCTATTTAGTAAAAGACTAAGTCCATATTATGGCAAGAACAGCTCAAATAAGCAAAGAGAAACGACGGTCCATCATTAGTTTAAGACATGAAGGTCAGTCAATCTGGAAAATTTCAAGAACGTTTCTTCAAGTGCAGTGGCAAAAACCATCAAGCGCTATGATGAAACTGGCTCTCATGAGGACCGCCACAGGAAAGGAAGACCCCGAGTTACCTCTGCTGCAGAGGATAAGTTTATTAGAGTTAACTGCACCTCAGATTGCAGCCCAAATAAATGCTTCACAGAGTTCAAGTAACAGACACATCTCAACATCAGCTGTTCAGAGGAGACTGCGTGAATCAGGCCTTCATGGTTGAATTGCTAAAGGACACCAATAAGAAGAAGAGACTTGCTTGGGCCAAGAAACATGATCAATGGACATTAGACCGGTGGAAATCTCCTTTGGTCCAAATTTGAGATTTTTGGTTCCAACCGCTGTGTCTTTGTGAGACGCAGAGTAGGTGAACGGATGATCTCTGCATGATAGGATAAAGGGTGGCTTCTTAGATTCTTCAAAAATAAAAAATATATTTTTATTTGTTTAACACTTTTTTGGTTACTACATGATTCCATATGTGTTATTTCATAGTTTTGATGTCTTCAATATTATTCAACAATGTAGAAAATAGTAAAAATAAAGAAAAACCCTTGATTGAGTAGGTGTGTCAACTTCTGACTGGTACTATATATATATATATATATAATATATATACATTTTGTTCTCTGATAGAATTGATGTGGTTATGATACAGAATTCATTTATATTCTCTTGCCACAAGGGGGCGTCAGGCCATCAAATGTGGTGGCTGTTCGAAAACGTTTTTGTTTTTAGAATATGTAAGCCTATCTCAGATTTCGTCTCAGTGTAGTATAACTGTACTCTACCTGCACAAATCATAGAACACATCTATTCTAGACAACAATAGGACACATGTCACAGGTATGTTTGGGAAATCCAAGTGGTTGGTTTTTAGGAAGAGTCTGTTCTGTGTTATCTGTTTGTGCACTTTGTGCTTGGTTTCATAAAACCTTACTGTCACCTGTAGTCAGTGTATGTGACGAAGCCACTACATTTAGTTAGTTGGGTCTCAACACTATTTAGAAACACTTTACTTAATGCTGACAGGTATAATACATTTGTTATGCAGTTATAATGCTTTATAAGACTTGTTTGACTCCCTTATAAAGTATTTTATAGCGTTATACCTGCCAGTGTTAGCCACTTTCACAGCATCCCATCACCTCTGACTGTATAAAATGACTATATGAAGGATTGCACTTCCATCTGATAATGTAAGAACTGCTTTTATAACAGTTGCCAATGAATCCCAAATGTCTCTTTTTAGTACTTGTCGTATTTGAATGGAGATTGCCGTGATGGAAAGTTGTCAACAAAGTGAGCAAAAACACAAGTGTGAGAAGGACCATTGGGGCTTAATAATATGAGCATTTAACCGATTGTATTTCGGTAAACGCTTTGGCTCCCAACACATGGACCAAGTCCGAAATGGCACCCTACTCTATATATAGTGCACTACAGACACACCAAAGACTAATTACGTGAACGCTTCAGTAATCATAACCTTTTGTTTGTTGCTTCCCAGATCCAAAATATTGGTGATCATCATACTGCTGCCTATGGAGATTAATTTGATTGTGTTCTTCCTTTTTAAAAGTCTGTTGTTTCTATGTGTGCTACCACACTTACCATATTGTAACATTGAAACATGACATTATGTATATCCACTTGTGTGTGTAGGAATGTATGTCTGTGAGAGCCATATTAATAAAAATATAATTTTATGACAGCCATGTGTATTGCATTGGTAGTATATCTCGTACAAAGTCATACACAACAGTTAGAACCTTGCGTTGTACATCAGTTGTACAATGTGAATGTGTACTAGGGCTAGGGCACAGTGTCTATAGACTTTGATTTGACAACGATGTGCTCAGTTCTTTTGAATTAGCTTTACTAGTAGATAGAAAGCACCCTCATCTTAGTGGTGTATTTTGAAGGTACGGGGAAAAAGTGGAACTGAGCTCTATCACCTTATGTTTGTACACAACATAAATCAAATGCATCATAGGACTTGTCATGACATAACATCCTATAAGCCTTATAAGACATTATGAAGGCTCATACATGGTTATAACAAGTTATAAAGCATTATACCTGCAGGCTGTTACCCAGTGCTAAAGTTACCCAGATTTGTGTCTGTTAAAATGATCGAGGGAAAATAATTCATTTGAGTGATTATGCCACCTACAAAATCCCAATTTAACACCTGTGTGTATTTGTGGGGTGGAGTTGTAGTATCGTTTCCATGATGGGGTTTCTCAGAAGGATTCTATGAGGGGACGAGGGTTAGAGTGTCTGGGGAGCCCAGTGTCTTTTTTGAGGGAGTGAAACATTGTCGTTTTTTATTTACCCCGTCGTTAGACTGGGATTTGCACTGAGGAAGAGCCAGACATTTTCCCACTCAGCCAGCCCACATTATAAAAGAAAACACTCCATAGCACTACAGGCAACAGTAAACGCTCGGGCAATAACCTGCGCTTTGAAGTTTGGCAATTATTCAATCCGTCCACATTTGTATTTTGCTCCCTCAAAGGGGAGGTGGGGGGGATGCAAGGAGTTTTGGTATATGGCTCGGTTTAGGCATCTGTATGATAAAAGAGACTTTGAAGTTGATATGGAAAATACGTAAAATGACATGTCTATGTAGATGTTGGTTACCTCGGTATAGTACTTTTTCTGGTGAGGTGATTGACGCAACAGATGTAAACGTTGGCAGATTGCCTACTGCTTTTTTAATACAGATTTTTTAATATAAAAATAGGAAAGCATAGAGAGTGAAGGTAGCACGGAGATCTACCAATGATTTAGTCATTAAGTATCTTCAACTTTGATCCTTTATAAGAGAACATTATTTTTCGCTGCCCTCATTCTACTCTTTTGTTTTACCAGAATTCTTGTTGGTACTTCTATATCTTTATTGCATTAAATGGGCTTGTTTGCAAGCCCTCCGAGTCACATTGTATCAAGGTAATTGCAATGTTGTGGTTAAGTAGCCATAGCAAAAAAAAATATGGTATCTCGCTTATTAGAACGTTTTACATTAAGACACTGAAAAATCATCGTTACTTTCCATTGAACAAGCTTTATGGTTTGGACCAAAAGAGTTTATACTGTAGGCTGTAAAATGTGCGTGTTTTTGTGTGGTATGTAAAAAGGGGAGGGGTTACATTTTGTTTAATTATGGGACTCCTTTCCAGCGAAATCAAGGAAGGAAGTCATCTAACACTTAACTGGCAGACATAATGAAACTGAAAAGAGGAGAGGAAACTTGAAAAAGGCAGAAATATTTAAAACTTCCTTTTGATTAAAAAAAAGGAACAAAGGTAAAAGTAATAATTGACGTGTCATTTCATACTACACATCTTAATCAAATTAATTCAAATAATGTTTCAGAACCTGATATTTGATCATCATGCATTTGATGTATTCGATTCATTGTGTCAGACATACTTCAAACTTATTGGTAAATGCCAAACAGCAATTGCACCTGCAATGTTGATGAGCCGCATATGACCTATTCATAAAATGAAGTGATTAACTCTTCATTATAATACAGTGCAGATGGGACAGTAACAGTAGCCTTTACCTGTTCACCTTTTCTGGTATTTAAAACTTAATCATTTGGTAACATCTATATTGGGGTAGTCTAGAATTTATACCATAGGCATATACTGCCTTCTTTATAAGGTGAACACATACATCGGTATAACCGTCTGAATATGAACAAGATTCTATATTGGTTGTGTGTATTTAAAGTAAGTCTACATCTGTGTGACAGGAAAATTAATTGAGAGGAAAAAATCTACTATTAGGAAACGACCCATTCAACCTCAA